TTCTTTCTATGCTTCCAAAGTTTATACAACAATATTCAGTTTATAAGGACGAATTAACACTTTATGTTGCTCCAAGTGCTATTATTCCAGTGATGACCTTTCTTCGAGATCATACTGGAGCACAATTTAAACAAGTTCAAGACGTTTGCGGCGTTGATTACCCTTCACGCCCGAATCGATTTGAAATTGTGTACAATATGTTAAGCATTCGTTACAATGCTCGGATTCGTGTGAAGACATATGCTAATGAAGTATCACCTATACCTTCAATTGTTTCGCTTTTTAATGGAGCGAATTGGTTTGAAAGAGAAGTTTATGACATGTATGGTGTAATTTTCACTGATCATCCGGATTTGAGAAGAATCTTAACAGATTATGGGTTCGAAGGACATCCTATGCGAAAAGATTTCCCATTAACCGGTTATGTTGAAATACGTTATGATGAAGAAAGGAAGCGTGTTGTCGCGGAGCCTTTAGAAATGACACAGTCGTTTAGAAATTTTGAGGGTGCAGCATCTCCGTGGGAACAAACTGGTAGCCATTTATGGTCAAAGGTTTTTGCTTTTATAATCTCTAACATTTAATTTGATTAATTGATCTATTTTATTTATTTAATCAGGTCCTGGAAATGATGAAAGACCAGATTCTTTCAAGCTTGAGAATCTTCTTCCAAAACCACAACCAACAGAAAAGAAATAATTATAAAATTATAACATAATAATATCAATTTTGCTTTATGCGTGATTGAAACGCTGGGTTCTGTATGTATCGGCACAATGCTATTAAATCACAGTTTTGAACATTAAAAAAAAAAAATGCCAATAGCATAAAATTTTATCAAGACAACCTATTTTAGTCAATTAAAATGACTAGCTATACATTTATCATCACTACGCGCTAGTCGTTCGAAATATAAAAATATTTTTTTTTTGCTCCGCGAATTATAATTAAATAGAAATTTGAAACTTTTTATATTCACAACAAAGAGCAAATTTTAAATTTTTATACTATAATAATTCTGATAGATGTACAGCTATAACGGTTCAATCGTTAATCCGATCAAGTTCTCTTATTATGAAATTTTTAGTGCAAGAAACACGAACAATCGTCACTTAACAAAAAGTCTTACGTATCTATATGCGCTGAATAGTTTATTATCTCGATTTTGATTCTTCGACACCTTAAGATTGTGACACAGATATCTAATATTGAATTTCTTCGTTTTGATTGGCCGATAAGAGAAAGTAATATATGTTAAATCTGGACCAATCAAAAATTTTTTAAAAATCAAGAAAATCATAATTTTTTTTTTTTCAAGATCGCTTAATTCTCTTTAGCAATAATATTTATTTGCCCAAGCATTCATTAATATATAATGGCTGCTCAAATCTCAAAAAAAAGAAAAGTGAAGTATCAATTAAATATTTATAGAAATATCATAATTCTCATTCATATCAAAAAAAAAGCTGGATACAAAAATTCACTTTATAATTGATATGATGATATATTATCTGGCACCTCTTGTTTGAATACCTCTTCAAGGTATAATGTACTGAATTTAGTTCGTCTGATCAAACATAAGTGAAATTTTTAGCTCTAAAAATTAATAATTATAGTTGGTTATTAAATTATCTTTGATTAATATGGAATCATTTTAAGATTTCTTAAAAATTTTCGATTGTTTCATTCTCGTATGTGAAATTCTTTGATCTATTATAGTTCGTTGCCGATGGTGTCTTCTTTGCTGAGCTCAACGAATTCTTTACTCGTGAATTAGCCGAAGAAGGTTATTCAGGCGTCGAAGTCCGTGTAACCCCAGCCCGTACAGAAATTATCATCCGTGCGACTCATACCCAAGAAGTCCTTGGTGAAAAGGGTCGTAGAATTCGAGAGCTCACCGCCCTTATCCAGAAACGATTTAAATTTCCAGAAAATACAGTAGAATTGTATGCTGAGAAGGTACAAAATCGTGGGCTCTGTGCTATTGCTCAGTGCGAATCTCTTCGATACAAATTGTTGGCAGGTCTTGCTGTACGAAGGTATACTTATTATATATTAGCTCGTTTAATTAAGCTTCCTGTCATTCATTTATTAATTTAATTAAGAGCCTGCTATGGTGTTCTCCGCTTCATCATGGAATCCGGTGCCAAGGGTTGTGAAGTGGTGGTTTCTGGAAAACTTCGAGCTGCCCGTGCAAAATCAATGAAATTCGTTGATGGGTTCATGATTCATTCTGGCCAGCCAATTCGAGATTATGTTGATACTGCTGTCCGGCATGTAATGTTGAGGCAAGGAGTGTTAGGTATCAAGGTCAAAATTATGTTGGTATGTATTAATATCATAAATTATTAACTACAATCTCAATAAGCTTTACTTAAAGAGAATCGACTGTATCAACAGTACAAGTTAATTCTAACATATGGTTAATTTATTTTGAAAAAACTTAAAGGACTGGGATCCTTCCGGTAAAATTGGTCCTAAAAAGTCACTTCCCGATGTGGTTAACATCATGGTATATAAGACTATATTATCGTTGATTCGATTAATTTAATATCAAATCACACTATTTTTTGAATTAACATTGATAAATTAATAGGAACCTAAGGAAGAACCGCTCATAACGCAGCCGTCTTCTGAAGATTTTCAAAGACCACCTCAGGATATTCCTGTTGCACCAACTTCTCCAATTCCGCAGCAGGATATTAGTGCGGATTACACTACAACGGAATATCCAGATTATACCACTTAGAATGTATTTAAGTATAAAGCAAATGCCATCAAAATTAATTTTCAAGTCGGTACTTTATAATTCCTCTAGACTGGAACTTTTTGGTCTTTATTAAATGAAAAGAATGTTTGTATTTCGCATTGTACGTAAATTTACAATATGCAAATCTATAATAAAAAATAAAATAAAATAAACTATATAGTATTTATTTATTTAAGGACTTGAATAAATCTATCATAGAAGTAAACCCTTGTAGTATGGTTAAAGGAAGCTTTGTTGAAAAGTTTATTCGCGATTCGAAGGTTTATTTTGGATGTAAAAAATTTATATATTTTATAATTAATTCTTACTTATTGTGTAAATTTCGATATAACTATTCGGTTTAACATTGCACTTTTATTCAACATAACCTGTCTATTCGTTAAATCATTTAATTTTAATTTGAAAATGAAATCAATTATTCTAAATGAACCGATTCCCAAACTATGTAGTAATATCATAATTCAAAAAAAAGGATTTGGGACGCAACCCTATCAACACTTTAATTTTTGTATTATTGTGTAAAGCATCATTATGAAAAAAAAAAATCAAACATCAAATCCATAACTACGCATACAAGCTTTATGAGCTTCAATTAAATTTCGGCATTTTTCTTCGTCTCCGGTTTGAAATATACATTCATCACGAGCTTTTTTTGTATCTGGACATGCACAACATGGTTTAATCGATGGTTGTGATTGTGAAGGTTGATGAGTAGTGGTAGAGGAAGAGGGAAGTTGAATTATATCGGTTTTGTTGGTTGCTGACATTTTAGAATTAATCTGACAATAGAAAATTTTTAATGGACAAACAATGTTTATCAGTACTGCAGTATCACAGTTTAAAATTTTAACCCGTGGTTGTTATTTCATCATACGATAAGCATTAGATAGAAGTGAGAAGATTGTGAGCAATATTTTGAGTGGCTTTACCAACGCGAGTTGTTCACCACTCGAACACCATTGTTATGAATAGAGATGGGCAACTGCGGCATCATGCCATGCATGCATGCAATCATTCATGAGCATGATGCGCACTTAAGTGCTCGTAATAGTGATATTCACCAAGTATATAAAATTGAACATTAGTAATCGTTAGAGAAAATATTTACGTACGTTCTGATGATAAATTTAAAATTCTGCGTTTAGAAGATAATGTTTTCTTGCAAGATCCTGAAGATTGAATTCTC